GCGTGTGAGTGAGAGAGAGAGAGAGAGAGTGGTGGGGTGACAGAAAGAGGGTGAGCACCCATAGCTTCAAGCATGGAGAATATCATACAAGAAAACACCATGTGTGCTCACTCTCTTCTGTCACCTCCTTTACCCCTTAACTGAAGTTGTCGCCATAACTATGAACTAATCAGCAGGGAGGGGGAACGAAGATGTTGCAGTATGAAACCCTAATTTGAAAGAGTAATGCTATTTAGCAACATTAATAGCATTATTCAATTTGAAAACTCTCCTTATAACTAATACTGTTCCATTAGAGAGGAAAGTACTGGTTTTGATTTGATGTGTGAGGAAGTATAAGGGTGCATAGTGCTTTATATAGGATAGGTATAAGGAGACGGTTCCATTACGTATGTATGGAATAAATGTGGGTTCATCTTTTTATGGGCCTGCCCTAATTTTTTATTGGTATTCCTTCCATCAATAAAAAATTTAAGCACAACTTCAAGAAACTCTTTAATTTTTAAACATGATATACTTTCTATTGTAAAGAGTCTCTTTAATTTTTAAACATAATATACTCTCTATTGTAAAGAGTGAACCTTTATAATCATATTTCAAAAATTCTTTAAATTAGAGAGTGGATTTGATTCTTCAAAATTGAAGAGTTAAACTCACTTTCTATGATTAAATGTATTTAAAGTATTTCAATTTTCAATATAGAAAAATAATAAAATAATCCAGAAAAAAGTTAGTTAAAATAAAATATAGAGTAAAATAATAAATATTTTTTTGTAAGCAGTAAAATTTATGTTAAATACAAAAAGTTTGTTGGAATACTTCACAATTTTAACTCTTTAAATTTATAGATATTCTCCAAATAATAGAATATAATAGAGAATANCTGCTCCAACCCTTCCTCTGGTTATTACATCACTTGGCTGCTTCAACCAGGAATTGAACTCCCCACACTTGGTTCCAAAGCCCCCCAATGTGATTGTTCCGCCAACTTGGTTGATTTGTACAACATTGTTTGGATTTTAGATACAGTGCAGGCCCTCATATAAAAAGTAACTTTTTGTGGCTTATTTTGGCAGTAAGCATGCGCAGACAGACTTAATAAACCACAAAAGAAGTAGCTTCTTTCAGGGGCAAACATGCTCACATAGTTCTTTTTTAAGTAGAAAGTGCTTCTACTTATTTTAAAGTACTGCACGAGAGACATTACACTGGATTGATTGAACCAAAAGAGCTATTTATTTGCATCAGCAATGTGCTTTTAGGAGAATAAGAGAGAATATGGACTCTAAGATAGTGTGTGGCATATGTGAAAATCAATTTTCAGTAAGCAGCTCGACCTAACATAGGTGTTAACAACCGAGAGATTTTCACTAAAGCAAGCTCGACTTCAAGCCAAATGAGGACTGGCAAACATGTGCTTATTGTTCCTGGTAAACGTGTCTAAGGTACTAAAATTTCCCCAAGTATTAAACAAGAAATCTCAAAACAATTAAAAATCCGACGTGCAAAATCTTTCAGACACACTAGATTCCAACTTATAGCAACAGGAGCAGGCAGCTGCAGTTGGATAGTTAGCCATGTGGGAAAACAATTCAGCTGAAATTGTAAAGGTACATCTTCATATGTACAGATCTTTGAAACAGAAATGTGTTTATTTTAAGAGATTACAGTAAGCAAAAGAAGAAGAACTCGTTTGCATGTGGCGTGCATCATTACATGTGCGCACATTATGGGCAAAAATCAAAATACTATATTATACCATGAACTTAAAAGAACAACTACGGAAAATTAAGACATCAAACTTTTGAAAATGCCCACAATTAATATCTATAAATGCAAGAATATTGTCAATAGAATACTCCGTGACCAATATTATTCCAAATTCAAAACCTAAAATATAATACAAAATGGAAATTAAATCTATTTCCCTTCCAATTGTCTGTTATTTCATCAGAATGAGGAACTCTGCCAATTATTTCTTTCGCTTAAAATGGTACTGGTCTTGCAAAATCTGCAATATATACACGAATCGAACAAAAATCTAATGTTAAAGAGGAAAAATATCAGCTTAACTGGCAATTCAACGATCTCCATATGTTAAAAGAATTATAAAAATCGAAAGCTTTTCAAAAGATTTATTCTTAGTTCGAGAATTGACTCAAGGACCTTGAAAATTCATCAGCGGACGGATAGTTCACATATCAGTAATATGAAAACAATGAAAAACTAAGTAACAAACATACACTACCCTGATCAAATAAAATTAGATGCATATTGCAATGTAAATTGAAACCCTAAAGTCAGTTCAAATCACAGATCTGGTCTTTGTATATGAAAAAACAAATCTTTGCAGTTATTTTATTGAATCAGTTAAAGCTTTTGGATAAGAATCAATTAAAATTACACCTCAACATAAAGCGGAAGTAAGCTGCCACTGTCAAATAGAAGAATTCATCCAACTGCTATCACAAGCTGCAACTGTTACATAATTCTACTGAATTGCAAACAAAAACATTGAAAGATTAGTTCTTGTTTCGTGGTCAAGAACTAACAAAATCTATATATTAAATTGGAAAATCAGAAGCGAGTGGAACAGTGACAGAAATATAGAAGATTATAACCCTTTAGTCTGAACATCGGCAAAACTAATGTATGCCATATAATTTTTCTTGTTTGTAGCCAATTCTTGAGACTACGTCAACTTATAGAAACTGCTCGGCTAAGCGAAAAATAAAGAAAAGTGAGAAAGGAAAAAAAGCAAGAAAAAAGAAACAAGAATTATATTTTCCTTTGACAGAGGCAAATTAAAGAGTTGCGTCAAAGATTAAAGAGACAAGAATTAGGCTTTAGGAAATTGGAGGGCAGGAGAGTCCCCACTAATTCTCAAAACAAATGAAAATGACTAATTATCAAGATTTAAAACAGAAACTTGCTTAAGAAAATTAACTTCAGAACCTTACCAAAGAGAACGTTATATTTATAATATTCTTTAAAATTAAACAGATAAAGGAAACAAGATTAAGAACCCTAGAGTACATCAGAATTTACTTTAACAGATGTTATTAGTGCTCCATATATCTGCTAAATTGGTTTTTCCTCGTACCAGATTGTGTAAAACCTCGGCACTCATTTATGAAAATTGTACTTTCATGTAAAATTAGATCTGGTCTGACAGGGGGGGGGGGGGGGTTGGG